CATCGTGACTTGGACGTAGCCCTGGCCATGAGACTTCCTTGGGTGGTGCTTGGGCTGTGCACCACAGGGGCTGCAGTGGATTTGCTGTGTCAGGGATGAGCCTGGCTCAGGGGTTGGTGGGGCTCTGAAGCGCATTTGGGGTTCTCTGTAGCTTCTAATGTGAGGTTTGAGTCCAGTGCACCCACAGCAGCATGCCTTTCTTACCCCTGTGGTGTTGCAGGCTCAGGCCCCTGGGCTCCTTTAACAAGCAAGCTGGTCACTGAAGCACGAAGATGCAGCACAGGGCATCCCCTGGGGCTTCAATGACAATACCTGCAGTGCTTAGGGTTTGCCCTGTGCCCTCTGGGTAGGGCGGCCTCTCCGCACTCGGCACTCGGCAGCATGGTCGGGCTGGCCAGGGCATGGGCAGACAGTGTCCTGTGGCCACCTCCACCCTCCTGCCCAGCCAGCTGTTTCACACTCATCTTTTTAAGGTCAGGTTGGTTCCTGGCAAAAATGTCCCTCCAGGGGCCTCCAAGCATAGGATTTGGAAGACATAGGAACAGCACAGGCAGCCAGGAAAGCAGCTGCGCTCAGACGATGCCTTCTCCATTACTCAAAGCTTCTTTTTGTTCAGCCAGTAAAGAAACTTGACAAAATAGGAACAGGAGATATTTCTCAATTGTAAACCTTTGTGCAGGGATAGTTGGCTTCCAAAGGCTTTCAGATTTCAATTACTTGAGAAAGAAGTTTGTTTTACATCCTTAATATTTATGAATTCTCAAAAAAATTGATGAATAGGCATTTTATAGCTTTAACCCTGCAAGTGTTTCTTAATGAGTATACTAACTGCCCTGGGGCACGTAGGTAAGTGTAAATGCTGTGGTTTGAGCCGAGTTTTCATCTGTAATCCCAGTGCTTGAGGTGGCCAAGGCCAGAGGATAACCCAAGCCCAGGAATTGGAGGCCAGGCTGGACAATGGAGTGAGACCATGTTACTTTCTTTCTTTGTCTTTTTCTTTCTTTTTTTTTTTTTTCCTGAGATGGAGTCTTGCTCTGTCGCCCAGGCTGGAGTGCAGTGGCATGATCTCGGCTCACTGCAACCTCCACCTCCTGGGTTCAAACAATTTTCCTGCCCCACAGATGAACACCACCATACCTGGCTAATTTTTGTACTTTTAGTAGAGACGGGGTTTCACTACGTTGGCCAGGCTGGTCTCGAATTCCTGACTTCAAGTGATCCACCTGCCTTGGCCTCCCAAAGTGCCAGGATCATGGCATGAGCCACTGAGGCCAGCCCTTTTTTCCTTTTTTTGAGATGGGATCTCCCCAGACTGGGGTGTAGTGGTGCAGTTACAGCTCACTACAGCCTTGACTGCCCAGGCTCAAGTGATCCTCCCATCTCAGCTAGAATTACAGGCTTGAGCCACAGTGCCTGGTAATTTCCCAATTTTGTAGAGATGGGACTTAGCTATGTTGCCTACACTGGTCTTGAACTCCTGGTGTCAAGCAATTCTCCAGTCTCGGCCTTGGCCTCCCAAAGTGGTGGGATTCTAGGTGTGAGCCACTGCGCCTGGCCTTTAAAATTTCAATCTCTCCAAAACCTCCAAAATATTCTTTAGTTAGTTCTTCAGAAGTAGCTGGGCTCAATCCACCCACAAAAACCTTTCAGGGGGTTCTTTCCCTTTTCAAGCTTTGGCTCTATGTGGCAGGGGTGGGGGGTGGTCCTATCAATTTGCCATCCAGCTTCTGTTCTTTCCATTCCAAGGCCTTAACAGCACTAGCATTTTCCAAAAGCACAAATACAAATCCCCTTGATCTTCCAGTAACTGTTTTAACTGTGCAGTCTGCAACCAGCCTAAGTCAAGACACACCATCAGATCTTTTTGCTTGTAACACTGTACCATCATCCTGCAGATCTTGGATCCCTCTGTGATTTCCTCTGTATTGCTTGCGGTACTCATTCAGGTCTTTGCTGGTCCTGGAGGAGTTGTAGGCAGGGGGCTGCTGGTGCACCCTCAGGGTAAGGAAGCAGTGTATGCTATGGAGTTGGACTTCAAATGGTGATGGAAGACAGTCATTATAATTTTATGGGACCACGGTGGTGTGTGTGGTCTGTTGTTGACTGAAACGCCATCACCTCATGTGGGGAGCTGCCAGAAGCCTGTAAGAGTAGCTGCCTGAAGCCCTTTGGGGGTAGCACTCTAAGGTCCCTTAGATCACATGGGTGTAGCACCCTGAGGCCCTGGCGGGAATGACTGTTGGAACCTCTGTCAGTGGTAAGTGATGCCAGTGTCCTCTGTGGAGCAAACTGCTGGGGTCCCTGGTGGTTCCCACCGTGTAGCTGACACTCGTGGCCTCTGCTTTTCTTCTTTGTTCACAGTGTTCTCCTGGCATCTCAGGTATGCATTATCTCACCAGTGAACTTTTTCATGTGGACATTCTCGGGTTTTTTCGTTTTTACTCCACTGTGTTGCTGCAGATCTTCAATGGGTCCTTGAGCGTTCTGGGCTATTCTGGCTTGTGAATATCTGTCTGTAGTTGATTTGTGTGTGGGTAGTGGGAGGGGGAAATGAAGGTTGGTATCTCCTACTCCACCGTCTTGGTGATGTTGCTCCACTCTTTCCTTTCTTTTTTTTCCAAAATAACCCAGCAACATTGCCCCAACTAAAGCCATTAAGATAATTCCTGGCCGGGTGCGGTGGTTCACGCCTGTAATCCCAGCACTTTGGGAGGCTGAGGTGGGTGGATCACTAGAGGTCAGGAGTTCAAGAGCAGGCTGGCCAACATGGTGAAGCCTCATCTCTACCAAAAAATACAAAAATTAGTTGGGTGTGGTGGCACGTGCCCGTGGTCCCAGCTACTCGGGAGGCTGAGGCACAAGAATCGCTTAAACCCAGGGAGTGGAGGTTGCAGTGAGCTGACAGACATCGCGCCACTGCACTCCAGCCTGGGTGACAGAGCGAGACCCTGTCTCTAGATAAATAAATAAAATAGAGCCATTAAGATAATTCCTCAAAAACAGTAAGTTGCCAGGCATTCACATTTCTCCTTTATTCTCGTTTTTGTTTTGTTTGAGACGGAGTCTCGCTCTGTCACCAGGCTGGAGTGCAGTGGTGCGATCTCAGCTCTCTGCAACCTCTGCCTCCTGGGTTCAAGTGATTCTCCTGCCTCAGCCTCCCAAGTAGCTGGGACTACAGGTGCGCATCACCACACTCAGCTAATTTTTGTATTTTTAGTAGAGATGGGTTTCACCATGTTGGCCAAGATGGTCCCGATATCCTGACCTCTTGATCCGCCCGCTTCTGCCTCCCAAAGTGCTGGAATTACAGGCGTGAGCCACCATGCCTGGACCCTCATTCTTGTTTTCTTTTTCTCGGTTGCTTGGTTTGCATTAGGACTTTCCCAGGGTGTAACTGCGTCTCCCTCCCCTGTCCAATCTCCCCACCTGTCATCCCTGAGACAATAAACCTGGGTCCATCTCTGGAAGGATAAGAGCCCAGATCTGTGGCCAGTGGCTCACTGGGGCTATGGGGATGTGTTTGCATTGAAGGTACAGATAGGGCCCCAGGAATGTCTTGGTTTCTGTGCCCGACCCAAGTGTGCTGATAGCTCCTCAGATGCCTCCCGAGAGTCAGGGGAACTAAGCATGCCCGTCTCCACACACACACACACAGGCCACCCACTCTTCTCTCCACGCAGCCCCTCTGCTGCCCTTGATTAGTCACAGACACCAAGGTGGGTGAAGTAGGGAGTAGGCTGACTGTCCACAGTGGCCCCCAGCAGCCAGGTACCGGAAAGAGGCGTAAAAGGGAGTCCCGCCTTTACTCTTGCAGATGATGGCTCCTCTGGTGACGATTTCAGAATTCAACATGTTTTACAATCAAAACTAGCATTTGATAATAAATAAAAATCAACAGCCCAGCCAAACACACCATCCACATACTCCCAATGTGAGAGCAGGAAGACTCTTGTGCCTTAACTCCCTTCCTGCCACCAGCTCCCTCTCTCCCTCCCTCCTCTGTCTCTAGCCCAGCAATCCCTCCACTCCGGTTCTGCCCAGCTGTTGGGAATCTTGGACAGCTTCCTGAGATCCCTGTGCATCCAGTCAGGGTTGGGGCAGCAGAAAACGAAGACCCACTCAAGACCTTATCAGTGCGTGCTTGACTCCTGGTCTCTCTTCTCATGCTTTGTTTGACTCGACATACCTCCTCCAACAACTTGATTTGCATTGATAAGTGTCACTGTGTTTTCCTTTGACACGACCCTGTTGCAGTTTGCCGAGCCCTTGATGGTACCAGGCTCTGGGCACGTAGAACCTACATCCTCATTGGAAACCCAGAGAGCTAAAGCTCCTCAGCCAGGGTCACAGAGCGAGCAGAGCTGGAGCCTGGATACCAAGCCAAACCCCTCTGTTTTGAATTCTTGCTCTTCAACTACAGCTTAGTCTCCTCCCAGGAAGTGGTGATCCCCGCTTTGGGCGGGACAGGGTTAAGTGCCTCAGAGGTCATAGGTCGCAGGTGGGATGTGAAGTCTGTGCAGTCGCCCACCTTCTCTGGGCTTGTGGGCAAGGACAGTGCAGCCTTGGGGGATGGGAGTTAGGAGCCCCAGCGGGTAACAGTGACCTGAGCCGTGGCACGGGTCCCCTGGCTCCATCTTATGCTCTGTTGTCACCGTCCTGAAATAATCAACTATTTTTGAACAAGGGGACTTGCATTTCCATTTTGTACAGGGGCCCCTCGAATTATGTCTCAGGTCCTGGTAAGAGCTCCTTGGGAGTGGTTACTTATTTTTTTGTATAAGCAGAGCCTTGCTATGTTGCCCAGGCTGGTCCCAAACTCCTGGACTCAAGCAATCCTCCGGCATCAGCATCCCAAAGCACGGGAACAACAGGCACGCCACCACATGCCGCCCTGGGAGACAGCCTTTGGGGATGACGCCCGTTTCTTTGTTGTTCCGTGGTGGTGGGGAGGACGGCTCCTGAGGGGCAGCTGCCGAACAGTCCTGTGCTTGCCATTCCAGGCGTCTGAGCTGATTCTGGATGCAGCGGCAGCAGCCCCGGCACTCCCTGAGGAAAGTGAGTGGCTGGAGCCCACCCAGCTCCTGCAGAGTCTGCACACCAGGGCGGAGGCCGAGGCGCCCCATGCCCCTGGCTTGCTGGGTGAGTCTGGCTCCCGCGTGAATTAAGGGTTGGAAATGGAGTTTGGCACCTCAACCCAAAGTCACAGACTTTGTTAATGGGTGGAGTTGGGGGCTTCGGTGGTAAACTCCACACTTCCCCCAGAAACCATGCACACCTCCTGTGGGGACTGAGATCAGGGGCCCCTAGAACTGCCACATACATCGTTCAGCCCACGAGAAGGGCCTCAGCCTCCCCACCTGAACAGCAGCCAAGGCAGACAGTCTGACAGTGTTGGAGCACAGGGTTACCCAGAAGGCCAGCCAGGTAGGAACAAGGGGCCAGTGCTGTGGGATCTGCTCCCAAAACACATGCCCTTCTTTTTTTTTTTTTTTTGGAGATGGAGTCTTGCTCTGTTGCCCAGGCTGGAGTGCAGTAGTGCAATCTCGGCTCACTGCAACCTCTGCCTCCCGGATTCAAGCGATTCTCCTGCCTCAGCCTCCTGAGTAGCTGGGATTACAGGTGCCCACCGCCACACCTGGCTAATTTTTGTATTTTAGTAGAGATGGGGTTTCACCATGTTGGGCAGGCTGGTCTTGAACTCGTCACCTCATGATCCACGCTCCTCGGCCTGCCAAAGTGCTGGGATTATAGGCGTAAGCCACTGCGCCCAGCCACATGTGCCCTTGTATCTTAAAGGACAGAACAGAGGGCACAGGGGACATATTGAGCAGAAGAAGGGCCCAGACTTGGCTCAGTCATTGGGGTCCTCCACGCCCCTGGGGGGCACAGGGAGATGCCAAAGCCATCCACTCACTACAGGTGACCTGTCTCCCTCGCCCTCCACAGGGTCCCGGGCCCGCCTGTCTCTGAAGCCATGTATCTGGGACGAGCCTGAGGATCTTCTTGCAGGGCCCTCCTCAGACCTGCGTGCAGAAGGGGCTGTGATCTCAAGCCTCAAGGGTCCGAGTGCTCAGAGAATCAGTCCCCGAAGGAGAAACAGGAACACTGACCAGAGCGTCCGCCACCAGCCATCCCTCAAGCACACCAAAGGTGGCACCCAAGAGGCTGCTGCAGCGGTCTCAGCAACGCTGCGTGGGCCCCGAGGTGGGCGGCCCTTCCAGTGTGCCGACTGCGGGATGGTCTTCACCTGGGTCACCCACTTCATCGAGCACCAGAAGACCCATCGCGAGGAAGGGCCCTTTCCGTGCCCCGAGTGTGGCAGGGTCTTCCTGCACAGCTCTGTCCTTGCTGAGCACGGCAAGATCCACCTGTTGGAGCCACCCAGGAAGAAAGTCCCCCGGAGCAAGGGCCCCCGGGAGTCCGCCCCACCCAGGGATGGAGCCCAAGGCTCAGTGGCCCCTCGCAGCCCCAAGAGACCCTTCCAGTGTAGCGTCTGCGGGAAGGCCTTCCCCTGGATGGTCCACCTCATCGACCATCAGAAACTCCACACAGCCCACGGCCACATGTGAATGGCCAGCCTCGGGCCTTGGCCACCCGGCCCTGAGTCCCCGGGGGGCACCGATGGGCACCAGAAGATGGGGGACATCCCCCAGCCCCACCAACCCCTGGCCACCATGGGACTCCTCTTGAAGGACACAGGCTGCTTCTCAGAAGATCCTGGACACCTGCTCCAGAGCCGAGCATGGCTTCCCAGGATCTCGGCCAAGAAGCAGCAGTTCCACAGCAAAACCTGGTCAGTCCTGCACACTGTGTTTTGCAAGTGGCTTGAAGAGGAGTTTCATTCGCGTCTCGTCTTTCAGAAGCCTTGTCCAGGTCTCCCTGTGAGCACCTGACTCAGGGGCAGACTCTGCCGCTGGGTTTTCATTTCACTGTGGATATCCCTGAGGCCATGAGGGCGGGAGCTGGCCTGGGCAGCTCCAACTCCAGAGAAGGGTACAGCTGACCCCGGCTGCCCTCCTGCCAGCTCAGCCCCCTTGGAACCTAACAGATAAACAGGGTTTTGTTTTTTTTCCTTTTTTGGGAAACATAAAATTTACCATTTCAGTCATTAAAAATGCACAGTTCAGTGGCATTAAACACATTCACAACACTGTGCAACTACCAGCACTCTTTAGCTCCAAAGACATTTTCATCTCGCCCAGAAAGAGAGCCCACAGGCCTCAGCACGCCTTCGCCGTTCCGTCTGCCCTGACAACCAGAATCTGCTTCCTGTCTCTAAGGATTTCAGGCGCAGTCTTTAGGCCTGACCAAAACTGACCTGCCTATATTTTGTTTGACTTACAGAAGGAGTTTTTTTTTGAGATGGATGCCAACATTTGTTTAAACCATAAAAATCTGGCATTCTGGTCTGCCAGGAAGAACCAGATGGTCTCCAAAGAGTGGGGCCGCCTCTCCTGCTAGACTGGAGCAGAGGTGGGCAGGCGGTGAGGTCACAGCAGGGAGCCAGCCTCAGATTCAGCGTCTCGCCCATCCCCAACTCATTGTTGCTGGACACTTGTCCTCTTTCAAGCCTTAAAAGTTTTTGTCTTTTTCTTTTTCTCCTCCCAACTTCACTTTGAAACACAGTGTTGGGCTGACTGTGAATCTGCACAGGCAGACATTTTTCCAAGTCGCCTTCTAACTCAAAAGCCTTTGGACCTACCCACGTCACATCCGCCTGCTGCTGATTCTCAACCAATCTGCCCCCACTCTCGGCCTCTGTCCCCGACGGCCCTCACAGGCTGTGCAGGTCCCACGGACCCGCCGCTGCCTTCACTTCATCCTCGCTGCCGTGCTTGCCTTCTCGCGCTTGCCTTCTGGAGCGCCCCCAACCGGGCCTCTGGACTTTGCTTCCCCGGCTCCCTCCGGCATCCCCAGCTTTTCCCTGCAGTCCCCACTGGGGGCTCCTGGCTCTATCCTATGCCTTAATTGCTGATGGGCTCCAGCTCCCCTCCTGGGGCCTTCTCTCTCATCCTGCAAAGGAGGAGCTTCTTCTACCGAGCTCAGGATGGAGGGTGGGGTCTTGGCCCCGCAGTCAGCCCATTACTCTCGGAAGCCCCCCTGAGCCTTCTCTCAGGGGCAGATCGATCATCTCGCACAATGGGATATGTAGAGATAGCTCTCCCGAGTGCCCCCACTTGTTGGGAGCCAGGGGCTCATTCCATGCAGTTTCCATCTCGGTCTCCACCTGCTGGAGGCACAATCACAGCTGTTTGTTGGTGCCAGAATTGCACAAGAAAGTGGGTGCCATTGAACACAGGGCATCAGTCAGGCTCAAGTCTACCTGGGCTGGCCCCACAGACATCCATCTTGTGTCCCTCAGTCCTCCAATTGAGTTTGTCCAAATAACTCATCTTCCCTTGTGCAAAAACAACAAAAAACATGCAAACTGCCTCCCCTCTGGGGTTCCCACTCTCCTCAGAGGGACCACCACCTTCCAAGGCCCCAGAAGGATTTTTGATTGCCCTGGGAACCCACCTCCCAACCCCTCTGAGTTCTCTTTTCTCCTCTGCACCATCAGCCCCAGGCTCTCTCCCCATTTCTTGAATGCCTGCAGCTGCCTCTAAGCAAACTCTGCCTCCAGCCCCTTCCCTCTGCCCCATCCCCATCCTGCAGCCAACAGGGTCCCTCTAAAATGCAGACACTGAAAAGACAAACCCCAGCAGGGCAGCTCCATCGTGTCTTTTGTGGCCCTGCTGCCTCCACAGCTCCCAGCACTGGGATGGTGGAGGCTGGTGTCCTTAACTCACTGTGTCTCTGCCTAACTCCACACTGCCTCTCACCTTGGCCTCCTCCTGTGCCTAGAACAGTCTCCACTGCCACACTTGACCACACTCAGCATACAACAGGCCCTGCAGAGTGAAGTGATGACTCAATGAGTGAGGGGAAGTCCCTGTGGAGATAACTGAGACACTGTTGTGGGCTGCAGTTTCCAGCCGGGGAAGCCTCCCTCAACCTCTGAGGGGAGGTGGGCCACCCCTGGAGGGCCACTCTCACGCACTCCACCTTAGCTGACAGAAGCAAGGACGTGGCCCAGGGTCCTGGAGCAGTTGTGGCAGCTGCCGCAACTCTCGAAAGCCACCACGTGGTGTTCTTCGCCCAACTTGCCCAGTCCCAAGACCCTGCCTGAGCTGCAGTGAGACACAAAGCTAGCCTCTCTCTTCTCTTTAGGTTCACCCCAGCTGTGGAAGCCCCAGCACCTCAGCACGCCTCCCTCACCCTGTGCCTTCCTCTGCCAGCACTCCCCAAAGACCCCAACACCCCCATCATAATGTGCCCCAGTCTCCCGTCCTCCAGCCCTTGTCACAGGAGCTGTGAGCCCAGCCCTGGGCACTTAATGCTCTGGAAGACTAGAGTCTCACAGGTCACCTTTCTCCCTGGCAGCCAGGGTCTCTTGGGTCAGAGGAGGGCTGGACACTGCTAGGTTTTGAAGCTCTCAAAAAAAAATTTTTTTTTAAGGGAGAAATATGTCCAGGGAACTGTAACTGTCACAGTATATTTTAAATGTATATGTTGAACAGATTAGCTTTTTAAACATTAACATACAGCATGACACAGTTCTGCTATCCATGCTGTGATTGCAGGATTGCTTGGAAGCTGCACTGATGTGCAGCCCACCTGCTCATGGTGGGGGTTCCTGTCCCAGGCCACACAGAGAGGCAACCAGCAATGCTCTGCTTGGAGATTCGGACAGGAAGCCAAGAAGGAGCTGAGAAGGGCCCAGCCAGTGGTTATGAAAGAGCAGGAGGTTCAGACCACAGCAAGGGCGGCACCGGAGTAGCCTCCAGCTCGTCTTATTTGACTGGTAGTGTTATTAAAGCCTTTGAAATCCCTACCAGCTTTTAAAAATCAAGAGATTTCACACAGAAATCACGATCTCTGGGTTCTTTTGAGAAATCCAGACCTGGGACGCTGGGCTTACCAGTCTGCAAGACCCCACTTGGCTGGAGCCAAGCAGCACCTGCCCCTGTAGAAAGAGCCCGCCCCTGCTGGCATGTACGGTTTAGAAACCTGGCTGAGAAAAACCGAGGATCAGAAGGTCTGAGGAAGGAAACAGAGGGGCAAGTGTGAGGGAGCTGGGCAGGGCCGCCTGGCCACCATCAGGGCTGAGCAAGCTCAGTGTGGCACCACCGACAGCGTCTCACCAGGACTATCAGACCGCTTGGGAAAAAGACTTCACCATAAGTTGTGTGTTCATACCTTTTGATCCAGTAAAAGGAAACGGGTGGAGGAGGTGGGGTGGGGGCAGGGGACAAAAGAGTATACATTTTGTGAAAGAAAAACATAGACACACAAAATGTTTTGTGGCATTTGGGTTTGTGAGTGAGAGAACTGAAAAATGGCATTTTATGTACAATGGAAAGCCTCTTTACTGCAGTAGAGTGAAAAGCAGGCTGGCTTTCAGTGTGACGGTCACTAATGTGGGGCTTTACAGCTCTTGGAACGTACAGGACACCCTTAAAAGCCAAGAAGCTTGCCTTTGCTTTGTTTACATCAGTGCATTATGATTTTGAGCCATTATATCTCTTCATAATTGCCACTGTTTTAGGGCTTATGACATTTAAAGTCTTAACTTATGTGTCAACCAGCTAAATCTTTTCAAGTGTCTGTGTGTGGTATGAGAATTCGTATTGTGTTCTCTGCTGTTTTCAGAGTTCAGTCAAAGAAAAAAAAATGCCCCTGTCTTAAAACTTTTCCGCAGCTTCAAATACAGTTCCCAAGCCCAGGCTGATTGGAATTAATCAGTCCTCTCTTAAAAGGGCAAAAGCACAAGGCTCAGCCCTGGCTTTCCCAGCTCCTCTCGCCTGGCTGCTCCATGCATGTGTGATGTATGCTGGTGAAACGAAGCCCGCTTGAATGGGGGCTTCGCTACTGTGTGCTGCTGAACCTGGGCCTAGCGCCTGGCAGGCTTTGGTGAATGTTCAAAAAATGACAATTCATTTCTTGTCCGCGAGAACACACCAGCTTTGAATATTATACTGCTGTTCAAATGCACAATTTTGACTACCTAGCAATGTCCGAAGTCGTCATAATTGTTAGTGTCTTGCACATTATGTTCCTTATAACCGTGTAATAAATACAACAGGAAGTCTCCAGGGCTGCCTCAGTGTGGAAAATGCAAAGACTCCCGTGCGTGCGATCTTGGTGAATGCTTTGGTTTGAAGTATGTGTTTTGAAAAACCACTGCTTTGTTTGCAGCAACAAAGCTGACGTGGAGTTTCCAACACGAAAGCCCGTGTGGTCGCGCCGGGAGCTCACGGCGTTCCAGGTGGCCCCGATCCCGCGTTGATGCCCAGGCACCTCCCGCGCCCTGTTTCACCAGGCCCGGTGACTCCAGCTCCAACAGCACTGAGAGGCCGCCAAAGCCAAGGACAGCGACGTGGGGACCCGAGGCCGGAAATGCGCGCGCGGCTTTCCGGGAAATGGAGTCAGGCGCGCGCAGGCGCAGTGTCGGCCGCCGGTGCAGCGGCCTTTGTCTAGCCGTCAGGCGGGTGAGCTAGGCCGGCGAGGTGGGGGAGGGGAGGCCAGGCTGGGCCGGGCCGGGTGCAGGGGTCCGGGGATCTTCCTGGGGCCCTGGCGGGGCGAGTTTCCAGCAGCGCGCGTCTGTGTGGAGTCCGTTTTGCTGCCCGGGGCCTGGGGAAGGCCGTTTCGGGGCTGGTGGGGACAGGATTTGGGAGGCATCCCTGGTCTGAGAGGAGGGCGGGGCCCAACGCTCAGCTGTACTGGAGCCGCTCCGACAGCCCCTGAGGGAACGCGCGCCCCGCCCCCGGCCCCACTGCTGCCCTACACCGGGCACTGGGCCGCCACCCTTGTTGATAGAAGAGGGAAAGTGAGGCACAATGCCCAGGGCCAGGGGACCGCAACCACCCGGTCCTTGTCACTGTAGCGTTAAGGCCCAGAGTCTGCGCAGCAGGCATGTGTCGGCACCCGCCAGGCCCTCAGCTTCCCTCAGACAGGTGGGGAAACCCTAGGCTGCCCTTCCCCGCGCGGGGGGCCGCCCCACACACAGCAGGCGCTTAAACGGGTACGCGGGGCCCTGGAGGGCTCTCCACGGAGCTAGGCTCTGGCGCAGTTCCGCGGCTTGGGGACCTGAGCACCCACTCGGCCTCCCAGCTGCTCACCTCCCCTTTCCCACAGAGCAGGGTCAGCCGTTCCTGCCAGAAGCCAGGGCATGACCCCTGGGCTGCGCGTCTCCACAGACCCGGTGAGAATCTCGGCCTCGCGCGTGTTCTCCACCTCGTGCCCGGCTTCCTTCTCGTGCGCGGCCTCCTCACACCCGGCCTCCTCTTTGCACCCCGTCCCTACTCGCGCGTAGCCTCCTCCTTGCGCCGGGCCCCTACTCCGTGCCCGGCCTCTGCTCGTGCTCGGCCTCTGCCTGCACGCCCGGCCTCCTGAAGTCCGCGCCAGGCTCCCCAACCACAGCCTCTGCTCTGCCCACGCTGCGCTGGCGGTCAGCGGGCACGGGTCCCGGTCTGAGTGGGCTTTATGTTTGTGCGGCCGTCATTGCATACCTGAGGCTGGGTGATGTCAGACAACTGTAGGTGCCCTGACTCTGCAGTCTGAAGTTGAAGGCCTTCGCATGCTCTGCGCTCCAAGATGGCGCATCGAGTGCCGCTTCCTCAGACGGCTTGGAGGCCAAGGGGGCGGAACTCGCCTTTTTATGATGACATTAACCCCACCCATAAGCCCCCGAAAGAAACCGGCCTCCTGTGGGAATGTCAGAAAACCCATACAAGGGGACTGGTGCGGTGGCTCGTAGCTGTATCCATAAGCCCAGCTACGGGGGAGGATTGCTTGAGCCCAGGAATTGGAGGCTGCAGTGAGCCATGATCGTGCCACTGCACTCCAGCCTGGATGACAGCGAGACCCAGTCTCTAAAAAATTAAAAAACTCAGATTCAGGCCGGGCGCGGTGGCTCACGCCTGTAATCCCAGCACTTTGGGAGGCCGAGGCGGGCGGATCACAAAGTCAGGATATCAAGACCATGCTGGCTAACACGGTGAAACCCCGTCTCTACTAAAAATAGAAAAAATTAGCCGGGCGAGGTGGCGGGCGCCTGTAGTCCCAGCTACTCGGGAGGCTGAGGCAGGAGAATGGCGTGAACCCGGGAGGCGGAGCTTGCAGTGAGCCGAGATCGCACCACTGCACTCCAGCCTGAGCGACAGAGCGAGACTCCGTCTCAGAAAAAAAATAAAAATAAAAAAAACCCCTCAGATTCAGTCTTTAGACTTGCTGCTACTAGCTTTATAACCTTGTTTATCCCCTAGGCTGAAGTGCAGTGATGCAATCACGGCTCACTATAGCTTCAAACTTGTGTGCTCAAGTGATCCTCCCCACTCAGCCTGTTGAACAGCTGGGACCACGGGCATGTGACACCATGCCGGACTGGTCCACTCCTTTATTATTATTTACTCCTTTATTTTTATTTATCCTCTGCACCATTTCTTATTTCAAGAGACAAATTATTGGAAATGGGAATGATGCCTTAGATTCTAAGATCCTCCACCTCATCAGCAGGGCCCCCATCCAGGCCCCACAGAAAAACCTGACCCAAAACCCCAGACCAAAGAGAACTCCATCCGACCCAGCCTGGCTGGCATTCACCAGCTATCCCACCTACAGCCAGTGCCAGGGTTGGCTTGCTGAGGACACATGTGTGATGTTTCAGGAGCAAGTGACCTTTGAGGACGTGGTGGTGGACTTCAGCCAGGAGGAGTGGGGGCAGCTGAAGCCTGCCCAGAGGACCCTGTACCGTGATGTGATGCTGGACACCTTCAGGCTTCTGGTCTCTGTGGGTAAGGCCATACCCATGCCCTATCTGATGGTCTGTCCCTGACATGAATTCTGAGTCTACTAGGTTAAATATGGGTATAGGATGGAGCTTTAAAAGCAAATGCCTGGGGCTGTATGTCTTGGGCTTTAGGAACCTGACTGTTTTAATGTAGGAAATATCAATTAGGACCAATATCAACAAGTCTCAGACTCAACCTGAAATCAACAGAAGCAGAGAAACATACTGGGTCTCAAGACTACAGAATCCCAGGGTAGAACAGGGTCTTCTGTAGAGCTGTCAGGAGCCCTTCCTTCTTTAACACCTCCCTCTGCACTTCTGTCTTAGTCTGTTAGGGCTGCTAGAATACCTTAGACTGGGTAATTTATAAACAATAGATATTTGTCGCTTATGGTTCCAGAGGCTGGGAAGCCTAAGATCAAAGTGTCAGCAAATTCAGTGTTTGGTGAGGGCCTGCTCCTCACTGATGGCACTTCCTTCCTGTATCCTGACATGCCATAAGGGGCAAGGGAGCTCTCTCAAGCTTTTTTTATAAAGGCCCTAATCCCATTCATGAGTGGAGCCCTCATGAATTAATCACTTCCCCAAGGCCCCACCTCAACACTGTCACATTATGTTCCAACATTTGAACCTTTTTTATTTATTTATTTTTTATTTATTTTATTTTTTATTTTTGAGATGGAGTCTTGCTGTGTTGCCCAGGCTAGAGTGCAGTGGTGCGATCTCGGCTCACTGCAAGCTCCACCTCCCAGGTTCACACCATTCTCCTGCCTCAGCCTCCCGAGTAGCTGGGACTACAGGCACCCGCCACCACACCTGGCTAATTTTTTTTTTTTTTGTATTTTTAGTAGAGACGGGGTTTCACCGTGTTAGCCGTGATGGTCTTGATGGTCCTGACCTCCTGATCTGCCTGCCTCAGCCTTCCAAAGTGCTGAGATTACAGGCGTGAGCCACCGTGCCCGGCCTGAACCTTTTTTATTTTTAAGAAACAAGGTCTTGTTCTCTTGCCCAGGGTGGAGTGCTGTGGCACAGTCGTACTTACTGCACACTCAACCTCCTGGCTCAAGTAAACCTCCCATTTCAGTCTCCCAAATAGCTGGGACTACAGGTGCATACCACCACACCCAGCTAATTTTTAAAATTTTGTAGAAACGGGGCCTTGCTGTGTTGCCCAGGCTGCCCTCAAGCTCCTAGGCTAAAGCTCCCACCTCAGCCTCCCAGAGTGCTGGAATTACAGGCATAAGCCAGTATGCATAGCCTAAATTTTAGGGGGACACCGACATTCAGACCATAGTAATCTCTTTCTGGCTTCATTTCCAGAGAGGCTTCTCTGGAGGTGACAAGACAACTGCCAAGGTGCCTTTCTTGGGACCAAGACCAGCAGAAAAGACAGGGTCTGTGTCCCAGGGTTGTCCTGGTTTGGCTGCCAGGTCTTCTTCACAGTGATCATTGTTGCCAGCGGGCAGGGGAGGAACCAGAGTTCTGATTGTCCAGGCCTGGGTCACATGTCCACCCCAGAAGCAGGGGTAGGGTCGGGGACTGAGAGTAGGGGAATGAGTCCCTGGGGAACATCCAGGGCTGTGGGTATGACAGCTGAAGTCACTCAGGGGCCCCCAGCCATCTGGGACCTGGAAGACCAAAGGTGGAATGGGCTGAGGCTCAGGAAGGGTCCTGGGATACAAATGCTCACTCTGTGGGTCTCTCCCTGAGTAGGACATTGGTTACCGAAGCCGAATGTCATCTCCCTGCTGGAGCAAGAGGCAGAGCCACGGGCAGTGGACTCTCGAGTTCCCCCAGGCGTGTACCCAGGTGAGATGGGAGCCCTCTGGGGCTGAGAGAAGCCTGTCCATGCTTGCTTCCTGGTTTCTCACTCTGCAGCTGTTCTCTAATTCTTCACAGAAAATTTACTACTCAGCCTTAGTGAAGATTTAGCGAGCACCCATTTTGCTGTGAGTGATGACACCAAGTCCTCATCTCCACTGAATTTACATTCTTGGTGAGGGAGTCAGGGAGACAAACAATAAATCGGTAAAATAATAATAATAAAATGAGTTGGATGATTACAGATTGTGATGAATGCTGAGAAAATGAAAATGAGCAATGAGGTAGACTAGGATGGGGGTGAGGAGACTTTAGCAGAGAGATGAGGGATAGCCTCTCCAAGGGGGTGACATGTGACTTGAAGCCTGAGCCATGGGGCAGTCTGAGTGAATAGTAGTATTTCAGGCAGAGGAAACAGCAGGTGCAAAGGCCCAAAGTCATGCATCAGTCAGCTCTTGCATAGGAAAAGCACTCCGACCTC